GAGTTAAAATTGTAGTGTTGAGTGAGTTGTGTAAGTAAGGTTGTGGACATACAATTTTTCTGTAAATTAACACATTAGTTTCATATGTGTGGTTGTTAACAGGTATTCAAAATAGAAGGTGTAAAGTGGCAAGTGTATGCATATCATTGTTATTGTAGCAACATCTTAGAACCAGTTAACATTACTTCAGCTTGATACTTAGTGAAATGAGCAGCAGATTAACCATTACATGTAGGTAAGAAAGTTGTATCAATTTGATATTTCTATTATGTCAGAGCAGCAGTTTAACAGCAAGTAGTGAATGTTCATCAGTTTGATACTTCTACTTTATCAGAGCAGCAGTTTAACAGAAAGTAGTGAAGGTTACATTAATGTTATAAATCTACTGTGTCAGAGCTGCAACTTAACAGAAAGTAGTGAAGGTTACATTAATGTTATAAATCTACTGTGTCAGAGCTGCAACTTAACAGAAAGTAGTGAACATTACATTAGTAATATACATCTACTGTGTCAGAGCTGCAACTTAACAGAAAGTAGTGAACGTTACATTAGTATTATACATCTACTGTGTCAGAGCAGCAACTTAACAGAAAGTAATGAAAGTTACATCAGTATTATACATCTACTGTGTCAGAGCTGCAACTTAACAGAAAGTAGTGAACATTACATGAGTATTATACATCTACTGTGTCAGAGCTGCAATTTAACAGAAAGTAATGAACATTACATGAATATTATACATCTACTGTGTCAGAGCTGCAATTTAACAGAAAGTAGTGAACATTACATGAGTATTATACATCTACTGTGTCAGAGCTGCAATTTAACAGAAAGTAATGAACATTACATGAATATTATACATCTACTGTGTCAGAGCTGCAATTTAACAGAAAGTAGTGAACATTACATTAGTAATATACATCTACTGTGTCAGAGCTGCAATTTAACAGAAAGTAGTGAACATTACATTAGTAATATACATCTACTGTGTCAGAGCTGCAA